TGTCATTAGATCTGTGACTGTAGACGAGAGCAGAGAGGCTACTGAGTGTCTTTAGCTCAGTGACTGTAGTAGAGATTAGTGAGTTATAGAATGACTCTAGAAGAGAGCTGTATGGTTACTGTTCCTCAGCTCAGGGGAAGCTCTGTCAGCCTTTTTTCTAGGACCTTCAAGAATCAATAGTCATATAAAAACATTATTATTATAAAACGCAGAACAATGACAATTCTTTCATTTTTATACGTTTGAATTTAAATGGATAATAATTTAAAGAAATTCAGTTGAAAGCTCTTATTCTGTTCTGAACATGGCAAAACACTAATCCACAGAGCTGCTCAAGATAAAGACAATCACAGCAGAGCTGTTTAAGAAGAAGGCAGCATCACTCTTCCCTCTGTACCTGAGCAGGTGATTTTAGCCACTTCCCGGTCTGTGCACTCATTCTGACCCCAGGGGGAGGAGGGACACTGCCACAGGGTGGAGTCATGTTTGCAACAGGAGACAAAGTCCAGCCATTTGGGATCAGGGCTCAGCCTAGAGTTTATCTCTCTGACGGTGCCCTTGTCTCCACAGCCCAGCTGTTTACAGATCACTGCAGCTGTGGAGTCAGTCATGCCGTTCTGACACACACTGCCCCAGGTGCCATTGTAGTAAACCTCTGCTTGTCCTGAACATCCTGCAGACAGTCTCAGTTGAGTGTGATCTGTCAAGACAGCAGGGTAAGTCAAAGGAAACGAATCCTGAGTTTCATTCTTAACTGGTAAGAAACAACAGGCAAACAATGGGACCAGTAAACAGTCCCAGTTGCTGTGTACTTCCAGTAATTCAGGATTCATGCAATGGCAGCTCACAGCTGACAAAAAGGTACCAGGAGTACCATGTTGTTTCAGCACCTGGACAGCATACATGGAGTGCTATCTGAGATGAGAAACGATGTGGAACAATTAAGTGACTGTAAGCTTAATTAAAAGTGGCAAATCATCAGCATCATTCCGATCACCTTGGCCATTCAGCAGCAACACAAGTCAGGGTGTCTGAGGTAGCGCTCTAAAAAGAGAACTTGCAGATTGGCTTGACATTCAACACCAAGAGAAGGCACAGTCGCCTTCTGCTCCAACCAGCCTGAGGGACAGCTGGTCTAGGAGCAGAAAGTCCTGGACCAAATCAAGATGAAACATGTGAGGATGAAGGACAACAGGTCACATTGACGGGGGAGTTTACAGTTTGAGTCCTAGACATCATAGAGGACAGAGATTATGAGTTGTTCACTCAACATATTCAGTTGCTGGTGGAGGGAAGTTTCTGAAGCTAGTAGTTTCAGTGCCAGAATTTCTTTATCTGTTTATTTCACAACAATGTGTGAACAAATGTGACAAATGTGTCTAAAATACAGATGTAATATCAGATGTTATATCAGTAAAACAATCAAGACACTCCAGGTGAAAGTCATATGGTTTTAACAATGTGGGATTAAAGAATCTGGATCCTTGTAACTGTAGAAATATTGTAGTTAACTTCCCTACCTGAACACAAGATTCTCACGTCCTCCTTGTGTCCACAGTCGTGCTGTCCCCACCATGCTGAGGGACACTCTCCCAGGGATGACTCATTCCCCAGATAGTCCACCTCGTCCAGCCAGATGGGTCCAGTTCCCTGGCTGAAGGAGGCTGGCACTGGGGCACTGAGGGCTGTCCCACACTGTAGCTGCCTGCACACCACCTGAGAGTCTGCCAGGTCCCA